CAGAAAAATATCTTGGTCCTTTCAAGGTCATCAGTCGACCTGGTACTTTGTCTTACGAGCTCAAGCTCCCAGACTATCTTCGCCGCATTCATCCGGTTTTCCACGTCTCACAGCTGGAGCCGGTTACGCCGAATCCTTTCCCGAATCGTACTCAATCTCCTCCACCTCCAATTGAAGTTGATGGGGAAGAGGAGTACAACGTTGCCGAAATCCTCGACTCCAAGCTGGACAGAAGGTATAAACGTTGTCCTCTACGTTATTACATTCGGTGGGCCGGTTATGAAGGTACCGACGATGAGTTCTCTTGGGTTGCTGCTGAGGAATTACATGCTGACGAACTTGTACCGGCGTTCCACGCCCGATACCCTCACAAACCTGGACCTTGATCACAAAAAATCATTTTATTCCATTTCCCTTTTTCACCGCGCTCCGCCGAAGTCTACTTTGTGCGTTTAGAGGATAAACACGATGATAGCAAATTGAGTGTTTATCTCCTTTTTCTTAATTACTTACATTCTTCTTCGAACTATTTGCACTTACATTTCATTCATACTTATACTATTTACACTTCGAACTAATTATTTCTTACGCCGCTTCGCGGCCCATTCGCTTTCCGATCTCAAATCGAGTTAACATTTTTTATATATACAAAGACCAAACAACAAAGAAAATTGTACAACGAGGGCAGGGCGACAAGAAGTATACAAGAAGAGGCCGAAGGCCGATGTCCGATGTCCGATGTTACTCTACTCCGCCCTCTCCTTCCCTTTCTCCGACCGGGCCTTCTTCGGCGCCGGTTCTCCCTCCTCCTCTACCTCCTCCTCTCCTTCTCCATCCTCTTCTTCTTCCATCCTCCTATCCTCTTCCTCCTCCTCACTATCCACGGCCCTTCGCCTCTTCTTCGGCAGCCGCGAAGGCCCTGGTTCCGGCATCTCCGGTGGCGTTTTCCTCCTTCTCGCGGCGTCCGTCATCAACCAGTCCAATTTGCGGTTGATATGGCGGTTGTAGGTGTTGTCCTTCAACTGGCCCTCTCGAAGCTGCCGGTTGTCTGCCAGCAGTTGAGCCATTTGGCTCTCCAAGATCGCCAGGCGCTCGCCGATCGGTTGTCCTCCCCCCTCTCGCTTCACCGTCGAAGGACGCCCGGAGTACGAGCATCTGACCTTTGCGTCGTGACAGGGTTTACAAATAATTGAACTCCTCTTGCCAGCCTGCATCTGGCAAGGGATCTTCTTGTTCCTGCATCGTTCGCAGGGAACTCTTTCATCTTCGTCGTCGTCGTCGTCGTCGCCGTCACCGCCGTCGTCGGGGTCCCCTCCAACAGGCTACAAACAAGACCAGGAATGTTAGTTAAGGTTACTGTCGAAAACTTACGATTACTCACCTGGGCCTTGGCTTTGCCTTTCCCCTTTTCCCTTCGAATTTCCACCACTGGTCGTCGTAGGGAAACCGAACTTCCTCCTGGAGAGGAACCCCGCTGACTTCGAGCGGTGGCCGCCGCCGCCATTACCCTCCGGCGCTCCTCCAACTCCCGAGCTGCCGCCTCCTTCTGCCTCTGCGCTTCCTCAGCAGCTTTCCTAGCTGCCTCTTCCTCGGCCTTCTTCCTCGCCGCCGCCGCCGCTTTCCTTGCCTTCATCCTGCGGACCTTCTCCTCCGCCCGCCGGATAGCCTCATCGTCGTCTTCTTCCAACTCCTCCTCGTTGTTGTCGACAGGGTCGGCGGGTGGTGGAATTGTTGTTCGGGACCTCGAAGGCCCAGCGGTAGTAGCGGAAGTGAGGGTGGTAGTGGTGGTACGGCTAGCGGACATTTTTTGGACTTAGAAGTTTTGGGAACTTGGGTCCTACCGGCGAAACTCTGGGCCTTTTATACGGCAAAACTGCGCACGGACCAGCGAAAATTTTCCTTCGAATTGTACTTGGTGTACGGTGAACCGAAAATTTTCACTGATGACTAACGCCATTTCCCGGTACTAACGGCTTTCGAAAATTTTCCTGCTGACTGATAGGCCAAATCCCCGATCCTGACGGCCTTTAAAATTTTTCCTTGGTGACTAACCAACTACCGGTATTAATGGCTTTCGAGGGCTCAAGCCTAAGAGGGGGATACTGTCAAGTCCATGCCACGGGCCTCCATTCCGCCGCTCGGTATTCCGAAGATCTGCTCTTATTGTAATCTCTTCCTATTGTTCTTTCTCGCTACACATATCCTTTCGTTCTAGTCTCTCATTATTGTCTTTTACTCTTTCGTGCTAGTCTCTCCTTATTGTCTTTTACTCTACCCTGCAGGTACTACTCGTATAGCTCCTAGTAGTTAGTCTAGCGCTCCGCACCGATGCGCCGTTCCGTAGATATAAATACTGCCTGTACGCTACTGTAGTTCCTCAGTTTAATTATCAACTTAGATCAACTTAGATCAACTTAGATCTCCCTTCTCAACTGAGCTCTTCTCTAAGTCTTCTGGCTCAACGCCTTGAAGTACGTCCTCCTTGACCTTAGGACTTTAACGTCCTCTGGTCCGCTCCTCGTCATCGGCGATACCGCCGCTCCGACCTGGCTGCTACTTAGCTCCTCTCTCTCTACTCTCGCTCTCCGGGGACTAACGGCGTAACGGCGGTGTTGTTAATAGCTTCACTACTGTCCCACTCGTCTTCCGCACTTAGACACCCTGTGGCCTTGGCACGGTTACACGGTGTACATGATCTTAACAGGTACCCTCTTTAAAAACCCTGTTGAAAGCCAGAGGACGAGGAGGACATAGCGTTAGCACGATCAAGTAATTCCCTTATTTGACCAATCTGATTGGAAAAGTCCTGGTTAGGGGGGCTCGGAGTAGCAGCTACGGGTGCAGAAGCAGATGTTGGGGTCGAGGACGCGATTTGGACGGATTCGTTTGGGAATAGGGAGAATGGCGCGGGTCCTGTAGCGGATATCTGTTGGCGTCGAGGTTGCTGGCGTCGGCCTCGGTCTCGTCCGAGTCCCATGAATTTGTCTTGGCAGACTGCTTCCAGATGTCCTCGACGTCCACAGTAGCGGCAGGTGGTTTCTCGGTGTGGGCAGTTTTGCTTGACATGACCTTGGGCACCGCAGCCGAAGCATCGTCCTCGCATGCGAGCTAGGAATGCTTCCCTAGTATTCCCATTACTGGTGTGGGTTGCATCAATGTCCATAGCGTGGGGGTCAGCAGGGGTAGTATGAGCGGTATGCATGGGAGGGTATCCAGAGTTCTGGCCAGTCATGGTGGGATCGTGCAGGTAGACATCCACCGATATGGCCCGTTTGATTGCCTCCTTCAGAGTCGGAGCAATTCCTTGGGCAATGTTGACGGTGATGAGGTGTTGTCGGATCTCTGGGAGTAATGCAGTGAAGAAACGTTCCCGCAAGTCAATATCAGACATTTCAGTCCGATCTCCGATATCCTTGAACTTCTGAGCGAATTCCGCAACTGTCTGTCCTTTACTTTGCCTGAGATTCTTGATCTCGCTACGGGCTTCCATACCTGGGTCCATTGGTTCAAACCGTTGGCTAAATTCCTTCAGAAACGCCTCCCAATTTCCTCCGAAAGGGGGATTTTCTGCATTGAAATGTAGCAGATGGGGAGTTGCCCAATCTCCGGCACTTTCTGTGAAGAAGCCCAAGGCGGACTTGATGAGTTTTACTTGGCTTTTGGCGAGATCCGGTTGTTCTGACGCCCAATTCTGGAACTGAGCCATGAAGCGACGGGCTTCAGCGCCATCTTTACCCTTGAAAACCTCGGGTTTGTTCATGCTTGACTTAGAGGATGAGCGTTCCTCCATAGCTGTAGCAAGGTTAGCTACTTGTCTGATGAGCTGAGCCATGAGATCCTCCGCAGAGGTGTTTGGGGCAGGCGGGATAGGAGTCGACATGATGGGAGTAGGCAATCGGGGCTGGGGAATCGGCAGGAAGGTTATATTGCTCACAGTGAGTGGCTCTCGGATTGAGTTCGAAAAGGCGTTGGGGCAAGGTTGAGACTGGCAATCGCGCCAAGTATCGTCGTTGTTATGGGCGTGAGCTTGGTCTCTGGGGTCAAGTGCGTGCGGGAGTGCGGAGCAGTCTATACTGGCAACAGGTGTTTCAGAGTCGGGCGGAACTGGGGAAGACGTGGTGTCTATAGACCCTGCAAGGACAACCTTATCGGTAGGCTGTCAGTGCAGTAATGGATCTTGACCTAATGTCACGAAGCGGCAGAGGCGGAGTGACTAGCGGAGCAGGAAGCGGGGTGACTAAGCCAGGCAGTGAGGCGGAGCGACTAAGCAGGTGAGTGAGGCGGAGCGACTAAGCGGAGCGGAGGCGAACTGGTCCCAGATAATGACAGAGATATATTGAGTATCGTAGTCATAGGTAATAATAAGTAAGCACATACCTGGTCCCAGATAATGACAGAGAGGTCAAGATAAGGGACCAGGCTGTGGAGGGTTGGCTATATATACATAATCCGGTCTGCGAGAAACAACGATGTAATACTGTACAGTTTAGGAACAAGGAAGGTGGCGGAAGCCGATAGAAGGAGAAGATGGGTCAGGTGGATCAGTAATCGATGGATCAGTAATCGATGGGAGTTTGACAGTGATGGGATGATGTATCGTACAAGTAAAGGCGTCGAGACGGTGAGAAAAGGAAAATGATAGGGGCTGCGTACTTTATGACAAATTGTACATGTTGCTTTCATCAATAGGGGTATCCATGTCCGAGCCGATGTAACAGCTCCATACCTACCGATGCCAGCCTGCTTGCTTTAGATATATCATCAATCACCTCAATTAATCTGACCATCAGATCAAGTATCCAAAATACACACCATAATTTATATCAAAGATAACTGCTTTGTGCTATAAAACCACCCCTCCCCGACCCTCGCTTCCAATCACACACACACAACACTTACTTTCCTGTCCACTCATTGATTCCCACAGATCCTGATTTCGCCAGGGTGCCAAATCTCACACAAACACAAACCCCAGAGTCCCAGACTGTATACAATTATCAATGCGCGATCCGAGTCCGACTCCACCTCTCCCTCCCTACGGTCAATTGTTTATTATCGGAATATGGGTAGAGAGTGTTTTGTACGGTGAGGAACCCAGTTCAAGTATCTTGAAGTCTGGGAGTGAGAGTTATTTAAGGCTAGGATTGTTGTTGTTTTTATAGGAATCAAGTTCGTATATCATCTATCATTAGCGCACAGTCCATGGGGTTTCTCTTCGGTGTTACTCATGAGATGTCCGATGTAGCATCGTGGTTTTTACAGCTGCTGTGTTTATTCTTGTGAGGAGATACCAAGCGGGAAAGTCCTCTGCGAGGTGAGTTGGTTCATCTCTGTTGTTGTTGGAAGTGAACTAGCATCTGCAAAAATCTGGATGTTTGCAAATGCCAAGGATACTGGCTGGAGAGTGCTGGAGAGTGCTCTCAGCTGCTTTTGAGCTTTTAGGCAAAAATACAAGTTTTCCAGATGTAGTAATACTGACAGGGCTTTATTTTTTATTTCTCCCTGGTTTCTCAGGCTCCTGCTTGCAACTTCTACAGTGTTATTTTCACTGTCAACAGCGTATGTTTCAATCTCGTGCCGTGAACTGCTTGAAGCATATGTTTGGGGTCCTCCTGGTGGAGCAAATTTATATTTTGCCGATGCCTCTCAACATTACTCTGGAGTGAAACTGAGTCTAGCTCTGGTCAATGTGAGTATACTCAGACCTTCTTCTGTCAACACAACCTATTCTAAAGCATATATTGTTTTTTTTTTTCAGATTTTCATTCAAGATGTAATATTGGTAATATATGTTCTTGTTGTTGGCTAATCACTATATTTTCTCATATGTATAGCAGATTTGGCGAATGTGGGTTGTCTATAATAACAAATGGACAATCATTATACTTCCAGTGAGTATTTTAGAACTATAACTGTGGATGATTCAACTGAATCATTTCAGATTCTAGGAGAGATCGGCCATGTTGGTGAGGAATTGGTACTATGGTTTATGAATGAACTTTTGTATAACTGATGCTTAATATAGCTGCTGGAATATCCAGTATTCACTCTATTCTGCTTTGCAATGCCACAGTATCTGACCCCGCAGTTCCAAGCCTTGTGGTATACTGGGGTCTAGATTTTGTCATCAACATCGGAGTGACTGGATGTATTATTCACAAATTATGGAGCGCAGGCCGCACCATCAAGGGATTCAAAATTGCACAGGACACACATCATCCATATTTGAGTGTCATATTCATCATTGTGGAGTCTGGGGGAATACTGGCAATGGCAACATTGATTACAATTTGTCTATATCTATCTAGAAACCCAGCCGCTGCACCAGCTATTGATTCAATTGTTCAATTCGCGGTAAATTGATTGATACTCACAAGAATCAAATTTCACTGACTCAGACCAATTTATAGACCCTGACCCCGCTGTTGATCGTGGTTAGAGTTGCGTTTGGCTTGCAGCGCGGAGTATCTGTGAATGAAACAACAGCTGTGTCATACAGTGTTGAACTCACACAGGCATCTCCGGCGTCCTGATTACATGGGTAAGCAGTCGGAATCAACATTCATCTCCAAAACCTGTCCTTTCGGCTAAGGGTTGGAAAGCACTTGAGAGCATTTCCTGGTAGTGAAAGTCAGAGCAGCCTGCTCTCAGTGCTTTCGTTACTAGGATCTGCTGGGATGATGGATCTGATTTCAGCCCTTAGCCGAATATCCCTGTTTTTCAGATGTTCTCAAGATACAGGAAATGTTAACTGATGGCAGCTCACTAGGAATGGGAAGCCTGAAGTGAAAAACTTGTTTTCATATGGGAAATGTACATTTCACTCACCTATATACTTCATACTAGATAGGACAGTTCAATTCGTTGTTTAGATTCACAAGCAGCCTTCTGGGCAGGTTCCTATACAGATGATGCATAATTATTATACAACGATATCGTACAAACGAGCACAGTCTTGACTTATGCAACCTTGCGCAGTATGAACACTTCACCGGAACAGGACAGCGAATTATTATTTTGAATCTGAGTATGGCTGATAGCTCTGCCACGGACCACCTTGATGCGCACTTGGAGGCTGTCGCTCAAACATCTTATTCAATTCCTGTAGATGCCTTAGAGCATCTAGAGGCATCGTGGCAGGACTTGGGCTTGGGGAAGGCTCAGCCTTGACGGCAATAGGTGGATACACTAACCTCAGTTCGTCTCGGGGTTCGGATGAACTGGTAGACGAACTCGGGGAAGCTTCGGACCGGAACGATGTAGGGACAGGTGGCTGCGATTGTGGTGGTGGTAATGGTGGTGGTGGTACGTGACCGTAGTAAGATGGGTATGAGTGTACAAAATGTTGTGGGCCTGTTTTTGTCGGATGTTGGTATCCTGAGGTACCAATGATATATGGGGGAGGAGCTCCATACGGTGATGGATGTGGTAGGTGCGAAGTTGCTGCTGGCGGAGTCGGATATGGTACAGGAGCCGATAGAAAGGATGAAAACCTTGCTCGATAGTCATTCGATGGGACCACGCCCGAAGTAGGCAGTGGAGCGAACGTAGGAGCAGACAATTTGGTCGTCAAACGCTTCGCTCCATGTTGATCTGATAAAGACGGCTCGCGTTTTCGTTTCGGTGAGGTGGACTTGATCTGCGCCTGCGCAGGAATGGATGTATCGACGGCCTTTGGTTGGTGATGACCAGTCAACTCCCCAATGGAAAGTATCCGCGAAGCTTGAGGGACTGTCATCGGCAAAGGCGCTGGCTTTCTGTAAGCCTTCACGTACGTGACTACGGTCTTTCCAACCCTATCGTTCAGGCGGATATCTTTGTGTTCCCGTCGGACGTCTTGCCGCATTTGGGCGACCGCCGCAGAAAGCTCAGGTAAGGTGAGCTTTTCGAAGGGTGGAGCAATGATGGAATGAACGTAGATAAGAATTACGACGCCGATGATTTCCATTGGTGATACCTAACGTTTACAGATTAGATTGTGCAAGAAGATAAAAATTTGAAAAAGTGGTACATGCCTTCTTATACATCAGGAAGGGCTTGGAAAGGTCTTCATCAACCGTGAGCTGTACTAATATAGAGAACGCCTGCTTGACCTGATCCGCGAATTCCCCCGACATAGGACTAGTATCGTCATCCAACCATTTTTCGACCTGAGATAACGTTCCCGTGGTTTTGAGCGCGGTATTGCGCTCTGGTCCCCACTTGGACAAAGCGTACACAGCTTGGGCGAGACATCGATAATCTGCGTCGCGGGATCTGTCCCAGCGGAACGAAGGAGCCGCAAGTCCACTTTCTGTCACGTAAAGCTCCCGAAGTTCATTGATAAACTTGGCGTGACGGGTACTGCGGATTCGAAGCTTTTCTGCTGTAGATAGTGCCATTCCGAGTTGCACTCGCTATACAATACGATCGTTAGAAGGATGTATCATACATGATTCAGAGAGAATGAATGGGAACTAACTCGAAAGATCTCCCTTTCATCCTCTTCATCCAATTCTTCGTATTCCGTACACCGGATCTGTCGATTGAGGAAACTCTGTCGAATCCGTTCTGGGATAATGTTTCTATGAGTCTTCGATGTCGAGGATTCATCATTCTTGAACCACCAGAGTTTCGAGGTTTCTCTGGAGCCTGGTCAGCGATATGTATCTATGGAGTTAAAGGAAACGCACGGATGTTTCACTTTCAAAGGATGAAAGTTAATCTTAACAGAAAATAATGTCGATTACAGTTCAAACACATACGAGGTATCTACGAAGATAAATGAGCACTTTAAGCATTAACATTCAGTAGACGTTGCTTACTGCACCATCGATGAAGCTGAAGAGAATGAAGCTCAATATCTATATATATATGCTTTCATAGAAAGTGATGACTTACAGTTGCAGACTCGTTAATCGCTGTTTACCATCGAGGCATATTTTAGTAACTTCGGTTCCGTTCTCCTCATAAGATACAGCTGAAAAGATCCTATATGAGTACACAGCCATAAAGGTATTACCTTCATGTTCTCACAAAAGATGATGGGAGGCATGTAATGGTTCGTAAAGACACTGTCTATCAGCATTATCTGTTTCTCGGCCTTCCAGACCACGTCTAGAAAGATGAAGGGTAGATAAGTAGTCAAGATTCGGCAGCGCGTGATGTTATACCTCGCTGATATTCAGGATTTACGTCAATTAATCCTCGTTTTATGTCGTCTATGACACAAACTCCATATTACTGAATATTGAATCCAGATGTCATAACACTCACCGTATAGACTTCGCACAGAAAAGGTAGCGTCCCGAGGTCGTTTGAGAGCTTTCGGCATCTCAAAATCGCCCACGGTTGCTGTAGAACGTACGCTCCTGGACTTTGAAGGCGTGCGTTGCACTGATAGTTGGTCAATGTCGGAAACCGAATTTGGTCGTGCCAATTCCATTTTGCGTGATTATCACGCGTGAAAACTGTTGGGAGGGCAGAATTCAGTGAATGTAGTCGAGACTTGTTTATAATTTCGAAGAGAACCCAATAGTAAAAGAGGGGCAGATCAGCTTAAAACCTGAAGCCTTGGAAGAATGGGGGATGTAAGAAAATTCAAACACTCTACCTCTAAATGAAAATGGGAGAGAAGAGAGATTGGTGGGGGGTGAGAAAAATACTGGAACAAGGTAGAAACTGCTTAGTATCTATTTCAAAGCGGAGTTCTAATGAGAATTGAATGACTCAACGGGCACCTTGAGGCACCTTCAAATGAATCACTGATTGCAAAATGACACTGGCACTTGACAGTTGGCAACAGAGATAAATAGGAAGATACGAAATTAAGCATTGAAGGGGCCCTCTAACTCGAACATAGAGAAGAATGAGTGTTAAGTACTAAGCACTCGAGTTGCCAAAGCTGAGCTTGGTGAGGTGACAGGTCACGGTGGCTGTTGTTCCATAAGAGCTGTATGATCATTTGAAATCTGAAACTCTTCAAGTTGTACTTGCTTCAATTCTGGAAGGCTGTCAATCAAGTGAAAATTTACTACATACTTTGAACTTTGAATCCATGCTGCTCCATGCTGTCACCACTCACTGCCTGATATATATCCAACGGATCTTTTCCGTAGCATTCTCAAGGGAGTTACTGGGAGTTACCGGATATAACTAATGGTTTTTTAATATTATTCATCAAGCTTTGGAAGACAAGATAGAAAACTGACACCCTGCTGACACCTTTCTCATTGACAGTTCATTATTTGGTTTTTCGGTGTTAGGCTATGCTTTGTGGGATATTCACGTATTTTTTTCAATGGGATGATCAATGTCATCCCCTCAAATTTGTTCTGTTCTCAAGCTTTTGTATTGTCTCTTGAAGCTATACTTACTCATGAATGATGCATTTTTAACAATCCATCCCGTGCCTACATAGGCTATGTAGAGATATATGAACGCACACGCACTACCCCGGGTTCATGTTTTCAAGCGTATACTCTGTTTGTAAGTAAGTAATGGGAAGGGAGATACCTTACCTACTAAAGGCCGCGCGTCGCGGGCCGCTTACGCGTGGCGTCTAAGCTGTTTTTTCTTTTGCTCTTGCCTCCACCAAATCTATCGCGATCTGGCAATAACAAGCTCCACTGGGCCCTTTGACGAATACATGGTTGGCATCCACAATGAAGGAGATTACTTAGTGGACCCGGATGAAGTTGATATTGGCTTGGATTCAGTTTTCATCGTGCGTTCTCTTCTTGAATTTTAATCGTGACGAATTGGGCTTACCGTAACAACTTTTGTAGGAAGCTGCACGACCACCATCGCCTGAAGCGACGTTCAGCATCTTCCAAGGTTTGCATAAGGAATTCCGAATCCGACTCGTAGGCTCACATCCGCTCTGGGGACACCACCTGTACGAATTTCATCCAATATATACTCGTCAATTATTAATTAATGCTCCTTCCTTAATATCCTCAGATGGAATTCCGCGCTCTCGGTAGCTTCTTATCTTGAACAACACCCATTGCTCTTTCACAACAAGAACATCCTAGAGCTTGGAGCTGGAGGAGCGTTGCCCAGTTTAGTTGCAGCGGAATCTGGAGCTCGAAAGGTACAGTGGATTTCTATCAGCTGATTACTGCTTGCACAGTGCTGACAAAATCGAAGCCCAGGTCGTGATCACCGATTACCCAGACCCGGATCTCATCCAGAATATCGAATACAACGTCCAGGAGAACGTAGACGTGGCTAGGAAGGGAAACATTGCGGTCCAAGTACGTCTTTCCGTTTATTTTGTCGGCTTGAGATCAACATTTTCACTATCGAAGGGCTATGTATGGGGACACTCTATACACCCTTTGCTCGCATCGCTGCAAAACGAATCTAACTCCAACGAAGATCTGTTCGATCTCATCATCCTCTCCGACTTGATTTTTAACCATTCACAGGTGTGTTTAGCTGTCCTCTCGTCTAATCGGTAACATCCGACTGACACTCTCTTTTCAGCACGATGCCCTCTTCAAAACTTGCCGGCTCGCCCTCAAACCATCACCAAATGCATCCACATCTCCCTCCAACGACGACGCAACCGAGGCCTCTTCACCAACTTCCCTCCTTGAGCCATCACTTCTAGTATTCTACACGCATCACCGACCACACCTCGCCCATCGTGACATGGAATTCTTTGAGAAAGCGCGAGATCAGGGATGGCATTGTGTCGAGGTGAGTGTCGAGCTGACCGATTTCAATATCTCGCCTTATATTCGCGCTCCCAATCAGGTCGTAACTCAAAAATTCAACCCGATGTTCCCTGAAGATCCTGGAGAAGAGGAAGTCCGAGCGACGGTGCACGGGTGGTTACTTACCCGATCTTCGAGATAACCTATAGTACATGTTATAGTGTTGTTTACGGTCAATGCCCTTCTTCCTTCTGGCGTTGCTATCAATACTATCACTTCCAAATCAAACACTTGAATGTCGGAACCTTGTGAAGATCCCCTCGCTGATTTTCTCAAACACACGTCCATCTCCTTCCCTCGTCTTTTCTCGCTTTCTTTCCCTTCACCTTTTTCCGTTGCCTCGATGATTCTTCCGTTGGGCTTTCTCAAAGATTTGCTTTTGCCGTCAATGATGTCTGGATGACTTTTGTGGCATCGCATTGGAAGATAGATTTTGCGAAACGATCTTCTTATGAACCGAGGACATGAAATGAACATTCCTAGATATCAGATCTTTCAAGTCGTTACTTACTCCCATATCCCATCTGTAGAATCTCGCCAGACAAGGCACATCAAACCCCAGTACCTGTTCTGAAACTCCCCTAGAATAACGAAGTGTGTCGCGTTTGAAAGATCAACGAGGAGGGACAGTCAAGTATCATTTACCACGATCTTGATTCGAATGATAAAAGATGGGTACGTTGACATGCTTCCTCTGGGAGATGTTGAATCAACTGACTTGTAACGAAGGGAACTGAAAGATGGATGTTCACTTGGTAAAGCCAGCCTGCGATCATCAGGTCCTCACTCATCCGCATCTTCTCTTCTTTTCACAAGCTACGGCTACGACACCGAGAGGAACGTTCAAGCTCACGTCCTCCTTCAAGTCGGCTGCTTCTCTTCGTCCAACATCGACAGTGATCAACGCCAATCAGTTTCAGAAGTATCTGTCGAACGATGGACAATAAATAGCGCTGACCTGCCGCTATGCTCTTTCCTTTCCTCCCCCCTTCCTCCCCATTTGCCTCCCTCCCTCCTTCTCTGTCTTCTCCGGTTCAAATGCTTCCTCGACGTCCCGTGAAATTGTCGCTGTGCACATCCTTCACCCTTAAAGCTCTTGAAAACCCAAACTCTCGCTAGACGATTATGAATACATCGCACCCATCCACGTCGAGTTTTTTTTGCTCACTCGCTAAGGACTTCACTGTGAAGTAATGAAGAACGATTCATAGCAATCCGCCGCTTCGTCTTAGGCAGAGGCGGATATCCTTCCGATGGCGGTAACGGTACATCGTATGCAGGGCGTCTGGCATAAGCTGTTTGCCATTGATTGTATTGACTTCTCTCATAACAGTCAGTATACTCGTTTCGTCTTATACTAGCATTATCTGAGGTCTATCGTTCGCAAGTTTCATAGTTGAAGGAGGAGTTGATTTGACTACACATTATGTAGTATTCATCGACAGTTGAACCGTGTTGCTTTCATTGTAATTGAGTAGCGCGTTCCTCGCAGCCTTCATTCCATTGCCTTTTTTGCCTATTATACAGCCCTTGATGCATGATGCATAATGTGCCCTGCCTGAGTAGTTAAAGAGTCGCAACAACTGGTACTCCATTGAACGATTCACGGAAACGATGAATTTCAGGTTGACTACCTCCCAGAACTGTCTCTAAATCGACGCTCAGGCCCAGGTGTGGCATACCCTATAGTGACTATGATCACATCTCGTTGCCAGACCCCTCGAGAAGATCTTTGTTCATCCTGGAAACGGACCTCAATAATGAGTATCATAATACACAGTCGAAATCGGGGAATGACATACCGAGAATTTGAAGGTAGGGATGCTCGATTTTACTGAGATACCCGAAATCCGAGACTCTGTATACCGCTGAATCCTGTTGAATTTGCATACGCGTCGTCGACACCCTCTGATAAATGACGTGTCCCCGACACGCGACCTCCTTTCCCGAACTATCTTTGAGCGTCACATCGAACCTGTACTCCCCACTTTTCCCCTTCACTACATTGCCCTTGAATTCCACCTCTTCGCGAGTCAGCGAATGCCCGAATTCGGGATGGGACTCTAATGTCTTTTGTACCAGGTGGAAGACGGCGGTTTCGGTGTCGGCTTGAATGCTCTGAGTAGATGGGCCTGTACCGTGAAAAACGACCGAGGCTAGCTTGGAAGTGCGGGAGGAAAGAGGTCGACCCAAAATGAAGTCTTCAGCATGGGATACCGTTGTGGCGCTTGAGGATTTGGGGTTCATAGGAAGCTGGTGCCATTGAATGGATGGATGATTAACCTTGGGATTGAGCAAGTTGAGAATGACTTACTGGCGTAGGACCGGGAACGGCTGCTGCCAGCCCAACCGAAACGAAGCCGAGGGCAGATATCATGATACGGTGAAAATACATTGGTTGAACAAGGTTCGTAGAAAGGGTATAGCTCTGAGTAGCAATATAGAGTAGAAACGCTGATAAGAGGTTGCGTGTTGCTGGCTTGGAAAAAGCTCGAGGCTCAATAACGTTCAATAACGACCGACCAGCGGGTTAGATTCTTGTCCCTCTCCGAGGGCTCGAACTTTTATACTCGAGCCCTATTGATCAGTATCACACTGCTATCATTCCGTATCGGACTGTATCGGGTCGCCCTTGCAGATATCGTCCAGGATTTCTACGTCATTGATATCTCCAAGTTTGTCTGCGCAAAGAAGAGCAAAGAAGGCATGGCCCTATAACGAGTTCAATATATTATCCTTTCTCCTTCAAAGCTCTTGTTCTTAGGTGGTCTTGGATATATCTCGATAATATCTGTGTGGTAGAAGGTGGTGAATCTGCGAACTGATGCGACGCACAACCGTAGTCACGTTGACTTCCGAAGGAGAACAACGTGGGATATAGGCGTCTAAATAGTAAATTGCTTTCTTTCCTCGTCCATTGCGCTCAATCTACAGACCTACGCTGGAGAACACACGCGAAGTGACTAAAAAGCGGACCCATTTGAATTGTGGCATATCGAGGCCTTCAGGTGAAGCTCTGAATATTATATGTGAATCATTCTGCTTCAAATTAGAAATTGATGATACGGCGACCAAGAGCTCGGACCCACCAGCGCGGACGATATGCAAACAGGAAAGAGAAATCGAGTCAACATTGATCGCTTTAAGCTACAACACTCAGGTGCCTGCCATAGCTTGAGCTTGAAAGCTCGTCAGGTCGTCTTCCTCTTCCTTTGCTTTTTCCGTGCACAAGTGGTCAACAAATCAACATGCAGGGCCCATGGAAATTTAGCAACGGACCCGACCTCCCCCCTGCCTTTCATTCTCCATCCTCTCCTTTTGCCCCCACGCCTACAAGCTTTGATATTCTCAGAGTCAGACACTGCTCATTGGAGTTTGAATCCGTGTACCATTATTTGTAGTGGATTGCTACATTGAATCTCATACTTTCGTTCTCGTCCCCAAGGGTTTCGTCGTTCGGCGCATCAAATCTACTCGTGTTACTACGCCAAGGGAAAACATAACGTTCAGTTGTCTGGCGTATTGTATATTGTAATCCAAAGCATTTTCCATCCTGGTCTGAGTCTGATGATATGACAAGACAGCTTGCCTGAATAGGCGTGCATCTTAATCCGCGGCCTTCCTATCGATTTTCGCCTCTAGTTCTTTGGTGGCAAATACGTACAGTGTATCTCTTTCTGATCATTTCAACTTCACCGAAGCTTCAAAGGACGGAATATATGTGTACAGAATAGTATCCCAGCCTCAGTCCATTGTGACTACCTCTTTCCATCTATAATACCCAATAGTTATCCAGTGGGACAGCAGTGGCACGTCGTCACTGAAAAAAGAAAGCAGAAGGTCTCGCTCATGATTAAATGAACTGATTACTGAGTAGGAAGCCTCATACCTTTACCTTATCAAGATCTGGCTATGCCGTACCGATATGATTTAATTGAAGAGATCGTGTCCCCTGCTTTACTGTTTATTTCTCCTGAGACTACTGCTACGTGTGTCCCTCCGCGGTTCCCGAAACCCACCGTCACCCACCCTTCACACTCCCCAAAGCCTGCTAGAGTTGGCAGAGCTTCTAAAAACTTGACCTTGAATGTATGGTGGTTGGTTGCTCCAGATACAAAACCATGAAACTCGACGTCTTTGATTTTCACGCTCTGAAGGGAGTACTTTGGCCAAGCACGGCGCAAGACCTCCATGACGCCGCTCTGGACATTATCCTGAGTATTCTGGATCCACTTTGGATCAGCGCTGTCTTGAGAAAATGTCACTTCTATGGTCTTCTCATTCTCAGATGAGAGTTGTGGACCATTGCTGGGCAACGCTAGCGGTTGGTGAGCATCTGCAATGGGCTGTTTCAGGTTGAATCTTCATTGAGTATAGAGTCTCGGCGAAGAGTAAACATTTTGAAACTCACTGAGCCAGGACTGGGCACTGCTGCTGCTAACACCATCGAAACAAAGGTGAGGGCGGATATCAAGCGATGTAAATACATTATCGAAGAGTGGGTCAGGTGCAGCTGTGTAGCATGTCAATCCGTGCGTCACCAGGCAAGGTTGAAGGATTCCCTTACTTGGTAGGCGCTGAATTTTTTGAGTGTAAGTAGCGGAAAGCAGGACAAGGGCTCGAAGTGGTTGACCGACCAGCGGATAGGGTCCCTCCCCTGAAGAACCGACCTTTTATGTTCGAACAAAAAACACAGGGACACTTCCACGAGAAAAATAATATCGTGGTGTTTTACATAGCCTGATACTATCCGATATCAAGTAGGCCTAGTCGTAGCCCTTGTGGTTAGATCATCGCAGGGACATCCTAACCTGAGCCACATATCGCGACCCTCAGCGCCGCATTGCATCGAGTAGACGCGAGACGCTAATTCCCAGATCCGACATGACTGAGGCATAGAATCTTTATCTCAGTCTGGCCGACTCGTGGACTTTCGTAGTTGTTCTTTCTGCAAGTGGGATTCGAAGAGCAACAGAGACCAACACCGCTCGCATGAATGGTGGTAGGGGATTGAATTCTGCCGCCATCCGAACATATGGTATTACGATAAGGGCTGATAGGAATGATGCGACGATGAGCTACTTGCTGTTGTTTCCGACGGTGGGCGACGGGAGGCGTGCTGGTGCGTGTGAGGCAATGTTGCATCAGTCTACCCAGGGGAGGACCTGGGAGGACCATCTGCAAATACTTGTAGTTATGAGTCTACTTTCCATTCCATCTATCCATCAGTAAGGAGCAGCAAGAAGGAAGCGGTAGCGAGGTTCAAACACGCATTCAATGTATTTCGAACTTTACTCCATCACCGATCCTCGTCCAGATAGTAAATCAACCTCGCCGGTCTAACCCGGAAGGCTCAAAGAAGTCTGAGTTGATAGTTTCCGCGAAGAATCTGAATACTGAAACGGACTTGAGAAAATGAGGAGGCCAGGTTGCTGGACAAGAATTGTAAGAACATAAATTGAAGAAAGGTTACTACGTGGAGATTATCAATTGGAAGTACGAGTATCGTTCAGTATGAGGATACGAGACCCAATGAGCGTTTGTCATTTCGACCATGAGAGTCAAAAATGATGTACACAGGCCTTGGGATAAAAAAGATTATCAGGGTTCAATGTCTTCTTTCTCTTATTCAACATCTGCAAAACCTGTTTTTTCGGCTAATTCTCTGAGAGCAGCTGAGAGCGCTTCCCAGCAGCCAAAGCACCCAGAGCAGGGTTGAAATTTTGCTCTCGGTGCTTTGGGTGCTGGAGAGCGCTCTCCAGCCAGTACCCTTGCTCTGGCGAACATACAGGTTTTGCAGATGAATGTTACTCACCAAAATCCTCTTTGACCTAGCACTATGAAGTGCTTTACTCCTGCCACCTCATCCAAATGACAAGGAATGAATCTGAACCTCAACTGTTCACTAGTCTCGCCTTTGTCCTGTTGGGGGACCCATAGTGAAACATCCGGAGGGAGCTCACCCAGAATGTAGATATACGGCACTGTATGGGTACTTTATAAGTCAAGTAAGGGGACGAGTAACGTCCGGAAACTCACTCGAAACTGGGTCTACAAAATAGTAGCAAGTCTCTTCTCAACAACCGTTTCAAAATGAACTGCAAGCGCACCTTCAGAGAAGTATTGTACTTCACTCGAAAACACCATGCTTCTTTCTTCATTTTGTGTTACAAAATTCTCGCAGAGTTCGGAGAACCGTATATCCGTGAGTAAGGACTGGTACCTTGCGAATATTGCTGCTTCATCCAAGCCAAAGAATGACGGGTTCGCATAAGACGATTCTAGATTCCCGTCAAAGGATTCATGACCAAAATCGTCTTCATTCCGTTCTTGGCAAACGTTGATTGGTTCTTGGAAACCGTCGGTTGGTTGCGGGGGTATTTCGAGGGATATAGATGAGAAGGAAGCTTTGTACTCTTTCCGATTATCAGTGACTACATTTAATAACGAGGGATGCTATCTTACTTGGGTTCCATGAAAAGACCTCCCTTGCCATATCTGAAGATGTAGATACTGAGCTCACGCTATTGCTTCTGCTCCGTATGTCTTCCGTCTTTTCGATGGCATTAGTTGGTTCATAATTATGATGAAACCATAGCTCACCTCCCAATCCCTCGGAAATTGAACTATAATAGGATTTGTGTCAAAAGCAAGAGCAATTACGGAGGATTCATGGACCGCAGTAGCGCATGGAAGCTGTAACATGATATTTCTGATATTCCATGCGTAATATGGTATAAAGCAATAGGCACTGGATGCCCCAAAGTGGTTGTCATTCAGAAGCCAGCCAGTTGCATGTTCAAATATTGCTTTCTTAGTTGATTGTAAGTTCGACGGAGGTAAAGTATGTTGAGGGGAGGGCTTGATTGGTTCACCAGTCTCTATATACCATGTGTCCATTTCTTGACCAAAGTCGAGATAATCTGTTACAGTATGCAGCTGCTTATTATCTGTCGAGAAGACCATAAATTTCATGGTTGTCTGTTCCGGAACTGTAGCAACTTTGATGCCTCGAAAGAAAATGGGAGACATTGTCTCAGTCGTGATGCGGAAAACCACAACATTGAGACTGAGATCATAACTATGATCAGTAATGCTTATCGCCGCAGATGCAATGTATCTGTTGTCAGCAGAAACTTCCAGGGCGAGAATTTTTGAATTGTGAAGAAGGGGTCCACAGATAAGAAGACCACTCTGAACTTCCCATACACGCAACTCTTGCCCCGTGGCATGAGCCAACAGGCTACCATCTGGGGAGAACATGAGGAACCCATTAGTGTGTTCACCCGAGATCTCCTCCATATTGAGGCCCAGAGTGTTGAGGCTGTAATCTGATGGCCAGTTTAAGGGTAAGCCAGAGAGAACCACAGGTAGGTTACATCTCTCTGGATCCAACTTCTGTAGATAAATCTGGGCTATCAAAGAAGCTGGGGGTGCCCAAGGGAGGGCAGAAATGTATATGTGAGCTGGGCTATTTTGGATGGGTACTCGGAAGGTCTCAAGAAAATAATGACTATCTGAGGCAAGGTTTTGAAATGATGCTTTCCGCTCCTGTAATACCATCCCCTCATTAGAATTGTCGAAATGAATAATTGTATGCTTACCTGAGCCCATTTACAAAGTATTTCAAGTGAATGAAGCCCATTTGCAACAGTATGAAGTATGCTAAGGATCTCCACCCATGACAAGAAGGAGGTCTTCAGAAATGTTTCAACTACATGTGAAATTTGGGAAAGCTCTATTTCACCTAGGTGTGCTTGATCAAGGTGGCTAGCCCAAAAAGCAGAACTATACTGAATGTGGGATGGTATTTCATCATATCTTATGTGTATAAAGCTTGAGGGATGACTGAGTGCTTTGAGATCTAATAATGATGAAGATTCCTGAGAAAACCGGATCAAAGCATTTAGGCATCCCCGAGATAATGTTGCGTGCAGATATGAGTGAGCAACCCATAGCTGCTGACTTCTCCCTTCATCAAGAAGAAAATCGGCGAGAGAAGCATGAACCAAGCGGACAAGATGCTTTTCATCCCGATACAATAACGGCTGAAGGATGCTGAGTGTTGCATTCACTACATTGAGAGGCCGTGCAATAAGGCAAGCAATGTCCACAGGAGAAAGAGGCGAAATACTGCAAATGATACAACCCATGATCGTTCGGTAATCCTCCAACCAAGCGACCTTTCCTTGCATCTTTGAGAATTCAGATCCTAGAGCATGAGCATACAGATCATCGATTCCGACAACAACGTTTGTTTTCAATAGACGGGAAAGTTCATCACGACAGCTGGGTTGTTCAATGAAATTGCATGCAATAACAGCCCAGATGAAAAGACCATCAGCGCGCCTTGTGAGACTTGACACCTCAAATTCAGAAGGCCAGTTCGGCTCTTCCTCCTGTTGGTCTCGTATATCTCGCAACCTGTTTTCGAGGTAAAGTCGGATGTCGGAGTCCATACTAGGGTTATGAAGACGCTGGTCAAGATCAAGAAGTATCGGGAGACTTTGAAGTTTCTTCTGTAGATCCCAAGTCTTTCGACTGACGAGCACCACCGATACTCCGATGGGGAATCCAATCGAGTCGCTTATGAATGCGTCCACTAGAAGATGGCGGGAGTGGTCATCACTCTCATCTAGGGCATCAATCAGGATGACGATAGGTGATGAAATTGAGGGGGACGAATGCGAGCCGTACGACATGACGAGTCCTTGAAGTGGCTCCAATATGAGTGTGTCTAGCTGAGCTGTGGGATTGGAAGGTAATGCCCTGCGACCTTCCTTCAGTTCAAGTAGGGTTGGTCCAAGTTTTTCACGGAATCCCGGAAAAGTGGACGCCAGATACCAAGCAAGGGTGGGAATAACACGACGAGGATCTCGTCTACTAGCCTGTGTTTGCAACAAGAAAAAGAGTCAAAGACTGCGTAGGAAAGCTGAAAAGTTCCACACCTGGTCACGTTTGCAAAAGAACGTCGCGACAGTGACACCTTCTGCACGAAGAGTTGTTGCTAAACTTGTTGAAATTGTTGACTTTCCACTTCCAGCGACTCCAGTCAACCAGAACTTCTGATTGACGTTAGAATCGAATGATAATTTGAGATTCTCCACAGCGGTATGGAGAGAAGCTCTACATGTACCGGGCAGACAGCCCTTATACTCTTCCGGATATCCTTCTGGGTCACATAATGCACTTAGGACTGGACAAAGGACATCATGAACTGATTTTACATTATCAATGGACTCTGGAAAGGATAAAGCAAAACACGCTCACTATTGACTCGTGGAATTCCTTGTGTGAAATTTCCTAGTAGCAGTATCGGCTTCGCTCGTGAATAATTCTATCGGGGAGAGTGACATACCAAGTTGCTAGAAATACTGAAAGTTAAATTCTCCGGAATAAGTCATGATACGTGGAAATTGCGTACTCACGGAACGTATTGCTTCCACATTTATGTCTGTACTGAGTGTAGTTTCGATCTGCATGAAAATTCAATTACAAGTTATCCCTGGAAAAAACGTAAACATACAGTGAATCCGTCTACTAATGCTGCCAGTGTCCGGAGGATTCGTACAATCTCCTGCGAGTCGTCGGGCGCCTCAAGAGTCCGCTTAACGACTCCGCGACGCATCTTATCATATATGACCTCAATTTGACTGTTAAGTGCACTTTGATGCAATCCATATCAGAAGGAATGGGAGGAGAAAAAAAGAATTTTCTCTACCGAGCGAAATTGTTCAATCGAGTGCTCACTGAAACCGGAAGGTCCGCTTCTTGATTTTGATACCGTTGTAACAAAGTGTTCAGCCCCTCCATCCGTACGGCGAGCTCACCGAAATCTGTTTGGACATCGTTGACTTTCTGTTATGTAGAATGCTCGTTTATAAATGGGAGAAGAAAAGCAAAAAAACCCCGAACCTCGACGTAATCCATGACCATTAGTAGTCCAGTTACCGCAGCCTTTAGGGGCGGAAACGGGTCTGAAAAGTTCTTCGTGATGCTTAAAGTCTGCCGCAGTATGTTCCAGCTTGTTCCAGCTAGCCCGGTGAATTTACGCGCTGGTGGTTGTTTATCTCTCTGATTAAGATCTCGAAGCGGCGCCACGGCCCGGGAAGATGCAGGCGGTAAGGAGGTAGCCACGACTCGAACGTCAGAGCCTCGTGGTAGCGATGGCAGCGAGGACGAAGAGATAGGTGGTGAGGATGCAGTTGTTACTGGTGGTGAATTCAGGCGACCTGCAGGCAGTGTGAATGGATCAAGGTATCGTGGACGACGTAGAATATGATTCATAAACGACTTGACGGGTGACAAAAGTTTCGACAATCGTCCAGGCGCAGCTTCGGTCTTTCGACTTTTCATTTCAGCGGGTAGATTGACGATGGGCGGATACTTTGAAGCAGGTCGTGGAAGTTCTGATCAAAGGATGGACACGCTTGCAAAAAATCGTGTTTTCGATTGTTGCCTGATAAATAGTTACAAATCTCGCATGTCACGAAAACACATTGATAACACGAGAGACGCGGTACAACAGCGAAGGACAGTATTCAGTAAGAAGATCAGAGCAAAGGTCATTAGTCCATCTAGAGATATGAGTAAATACTCTTGATACAACGAAAATTGTTTGAAAATGAGCCCAAAAGTTGGATTCTTATGCCAGGTTGGCAAATCCAACAGCAGTTTTGGAAAAACTAAAGACGGTATAGACATTCTTCATCCAGCTAATGGGGGAACTGTCGGTCATAGAGGCACGGGCAATCACACTACTACACGAACCTGTCACCGAGAAGCCATGTGTTGTCTCCAAGACCAAGGTCTTCAGCAGCGAGAGCACCAACACAGGTCGAAGCTCCGGAAGAGGTTGTTCCAAGGTTGAAGCTGCAATTTACAGACTATCAACTTCCAAATCAAATATATATAAGGAGGAATCCTCACTTGTCAGCGGAGATTGTGAAAGAATCTCCACCCCAGCTGAATGAGACCTCCGGGGCACTGTCACAAGGGAATGAGTAGTAACCATCGGTCGAGTCGTACAACTTCGAGCCAGAAACCTGTGCATAAAACTCCTTCACGGCCGAGGGTGGACCATACATGATCGTCGTTCCCGAATCAATGATCGTCGCGAAATTTGACACAGCCGTCGTACCATCCGAAGCGATACTAGCACCACTAATCTGCCAGAATCCAGTAGAAGTATCAACATCATGGTATTCAATCGATCCAGAGTACAAGTCTGAATTGGCACCTCCCAAGTAAAGCTCAGATCCGGATGAGGCGAGGTAAAACCCGAATTCGTTCAAGTCTACAGCGTTTTGGGAATTGGCATTGACAAAGAAGGGGTCGGCGTCTAAGTTGGAGATTGCAGGAAATGCGAGACCGAGGATGCCGTCTACGGGATCTGAGGCAAAACTGGAGGATAGGGTGGTAACAGGAGAAAATTTCTGTTTGGAGACTTGGATACCGGCGACGGTAACGGTGTCTTCGTAGACAGGACCAGAAACGGTAGAGCCGTCACCGTACTCGATGGAGAAAGAGCCGGATTCCTTGGAAGAGGTCGAAGATGCGCTGGAGTCGTATGTGCTTTTTGCCGAGCAAGTGGAGCTGGTACAGGACGACGAAGGAACCCAGAGGTCGGAGGATCCAGCTAGAACAGACGGAACACTAAACAAGTTATCAAAGAGAAAATGAAAGAGGGCTCACTGTCAAAGTCGACCAAAAAACTTTGACCAGGACTTCCAATGGAAATCGTACCTAGAAGACATCTCATCGATATCTACTGAACGCTGATAGACTATGTATAAGTGCTTACCAGCCCATTCCTCATCATCTTCCTCGTCACTCAATGCCTCAGACTGACGCTTTTTCAAATTAGCCTCAACGCTTGAAGGAAGCGAAGCGAGGGCCTTGATCTCGAAACCCTGTAAACTCATCATGAGCCACGAATAGAGGCCTAAGAGTTGCACGAACCTGAGGTAAACTACCGGTGTTATTCTGTAGATTAATCAAGTTCTGACGATGTTTGTTCTTGGTCGCAACGGTCTGAGCGACAGCCTTGTCATAATTGAACGTCCCATCGGATTTGGTAAGTGACGATCGTTTGGGCAGGGAGATAGGTCCTCCGGCTTGTCGCGGCTGCATGGGCGTAGCAGTCGCAAGTGTAGCAAGGGTCACGAACGCAACGAGGGCAGATTTGGCGAACATATTGGGTGGCAGTCACGACGAGGATGTATAAACTGGATGCGGAGTTGGAGGTTGCTGGTGAAGGAATTTGAGCAGAAAAGGCCAAGCTGTGGAAACAGGAGAATTAAGCTTGATGAGAAAAGCAGCCTTTAGGTCGGTAACCTTTATACTCACCATTTTGAGGTTGGAAGCTGATGATATCCAGAACCATAAGCCATAGATCACACCACGCTCTAACCATGTGCCTTCTACTGTAGACCTAACAACGAAAGTTACGGCAAACTATGGCCTCGGACACCCAAGCTGTTCAACAGATCGTGGTTTTCATGAAAACAGCCAGTACGGAGCTACTTGGTTCTATGGATCATGGGAATCGAGAACGAATTGAGTTACAGCGGGAACAGCATGAATCGAAGCACCACATACCATGTAGTATAGCATTCACTCCTCAGTAGGAATCCTTGGCAATTATCTTCTATTCGACGCGACCATGTCGAGGTGGATAATGGAACGAGGATCAAGACATCAACTCAACTGCACTTGGATTTCCCGGCGCTATACGTGGCACCATGCGGAAGGAGGTAATGAAAGTGTGTAGCAGTGTCCAATAAAACAACTGGTTTACGAAAGCCACAACTAAGTATTGTAAAAACTGTGAGCTGTAAGAGTCCAAGTAGGCAGATAAAGAATTTAGAGTCTTCACTGAGATGAAAGGGCCTGCACTACCTGTTTCATGATATTGCCCGAAGCACCCATATCAACAGTACGCAAAGTCACCCGTCATGGCTCGACGGATCTATCACGACCTCAACACCACTATCATACTGATTCCACTGATTCTTGTGATTCGGTTGATTCCTATGTTGAAAAACGTCTCGGTAATGGCTCACATGAAAATAATAGAAGGCGATGACATACACTGCAAGCTTATGGGGTTTCTTCAATAGGCTTGAAGAGAGAACAGAGCTGGAATGCCGCTTTGTAAAGAATATGTGTAAACATCTGCGAGTATCCCCTCAGGCATGCAGTTGGTTTGTCGAGGGACTTCACCGTACATCGGAGCATGTGAGTGTCGGAGAAGGAGTCAAGGGCACTGCAAGGAGAGAAGGTAAGATTGTATAGCGAGACATGATGCACGCTTTGCATGATATCTTCATCGCTCCACCTGCAAACGACACTTTCGAGATACAGTACGGGAGAGCGTTCCTTGTGATTCGGGACACGAGCGCCTGAAAACAATCACGGCATACATATTCGCCAACTCCCGAATAATGAACATTCAAATCGCGGTTTGCTATGTGGAAAGTTTACGACTCGGACCATGAGATATAGCCTTGACTCAGAGCGTAAAATACCCGTCGGTATAAAAATGACTGTATCAGGCTCAATGAGCGATATAAGCCTTACCGTAAGTAGGTGACGATTCATCTGAGCTCGATTAGCAACTAAGTTGCGAGGAGAGAGTGTGATTACCCAGTACGTGACTGGATTAGGCTTCTTTAAGTTATATCTGGAACGCGCGATGATAAACGGTCATTCAACCGTCATGAATTGGGGGCCAGGAAAAGGTTTGTTTTGTACATTTTACAAGCGGGATATATCTTAGGATAACTAACATATCTGTAAGCATCCTTCTTAGCCGGCATAAGGATTGCGAAACTCACCATCTACCATCACTTATAGACCAGCTTCTGACTGGATCATTGTCCGAATAATCCTCCGAGACGACACCAAATATCTATGACTATTGAACTGCCCTCGAAAGTCAACGTGTTGAATGAAAAGAACCACGGAGACGACGACCCACGAGCATGCCAATAAAAGGTTTTGAGCATTCCGCAGGAGGTTGAAGATCTTGCAAAGGATCAGAACATGGCCTCAGTTCATGTATCGACACATATGGAAGGAAGCGCACCCGTGGCTAGGGAGGACGTAAACTGTTCCCCGCGCTTAAGATCCAGCATTATAAACTTGTTGATTTCAGCGAACTCTAAATGCGGTAAATGCTGGCAAAACGTATTCAACGAAATGTGCACCAGATATCACCCACTTTCTCCCACTTTTCATTTTGAAAAAAAAAAACTTCCATCGTCCTCTTTGCGGAGTAAGGGCAGCCTCTGTAATATGAGTCGGATTTCGCTCATGTTGTCTACACCTTTCTTCTTTGATTTCAAGTAGCTGGCAGGAATGGAAAGCGGATTTAAGGCGGACCGGGAAGGATGAAAACGACTTTGATAAGCGCGCGGAAGTTACATATAGTTACGGCTTTACCCCGACCGATATCCACGATCGCTCTTTTTATAGGACCTCAAATTACGTCTAAGGCCCCAGGTTCAAGCCCTTACGGACATCTTTGACTACCCACCACTCCTCTCGACAATTTCTTATTCTTAGGCCCTTCTCGGATAGTTCACGGTTCAAATTCTTCACCTTTACTTGAGTGTTGAACATTTACAATCCCTTCAATGGCTGTTGTATGCCTGTTTGCTTTCTTCAAACACCCTGCCCCTCAAGAAGCTGTAGTCAGAACTAGGAGACCAAGGAGAAGGGAAGGGAAGGGAAGGAGGGGTTGTTGAAGAGGAAAGAAGGGAGATCACGGTAGAGAGGTGTGGGAGAAGGGAAGGGGAAGAAGAGAGATTAGAGTGGAAGGCAAGAGGCTGGTTTCTGTGTAAATAATCCTCTAGTACTCACTTTGCATGTCTCATAATGTGATACAAATACAATATTAGATTTAATTACTTCATGTTCACAAATTACTAGACTTTGCTACCCCATGAACTTGCTGCCTTCTGCTCTGGCTACTTCTTTGTCTTGGTTGTAAGCATCCTAACAGTTGCCTCAAAATCAGAATCTGCTTGCTGCCCCATAGCATACATCTTATCTGTAAGTGCATTCCCTATTGGTACAGGTCACAGTACACTTCATGAACCGTCAATGGCTTGAGCTTGTCAGAATAAGTGTATTTTTTCTGAGGATTCTGATGTGCGAGAATGGCATACTGCCAGAAACTCTCGGTGAGATGATCATCTATGAAAAACAATGGTTGCAAGTCACATTTGAATGACGGGGGGTTGAAGATTAAAGTAAGAAAATTGAAGCAATAGGGAAACTTGAAAGTCAAGAAGCAATACTGACCTATAGAATCATCAAGCACTGTTGAGAGATCCATGGGGCTGTGTGTCATGAAGTATGTAGCCCCTATCATTTTCCTTTTCTCACCGTCTTGACGCCCTTACTTGTACGATTACATCACTGTCAAATCCCATCGATTACTGATCCACCTGACCCCCATCATCAATTACTGATCCACCTGTTACCCTTCTCCTTCTACGGGCTTCTGCCACCTTCCTTGTTCCTAAACTGTACAGTATTACATCGTCATTTCTCGCAGATCGGATTATGTATATAAAGCCAGTCCCTCACAGCCTGGCCCCTCATCTTGACCTCTCTGTCATTATCTGGGACCAGGTATGTGCTTACTTATTATTACCTATGACTACGATACTCAATATATCTCTGTCATTATCTGGGACCAGTTTGCCTCCGCTCCGCTTAGTTGCTCTGCCTTGTTGACCTGTTTAGTCGCTCCGCCTCACCGCCTTGCTTAGTCACTCCGCTCTCCTGCTCTGCTAGTCACTCCGCCTCTGTTGCTTTGTGACACTGTGAAAGTAATTTCATTAGTATGAGATCGGTTCAATGCTCTTTCAGAAATGCAAATATTACCCAGTCACCATTGTTTTGGCCATAATACTATCATATGAGGCTGGCTTAGTGTCAGTCCCAATTGTATCAATGTTGTACATTTGGAACTAAATCATCAGTCAATTAAATATAAATTTCAGATCCCCAAGCCTCTTGTCACTCAGGATTTAGCATGCAAGAAAAGCTAACCTCGATCCAAGAATTATTCTTTGCTGTAAATTCCTGTACATGTCTAGAAAACAAAATATTTCTGAATTAATGGCCGGGGAATATTCCACCAAGAGAACTCTATTGCCAATCAGGGGAATCAGCTTGGAGCACCATCAGACTATGATTACTGCTTACCAACAACATAGGCACTTGTTTGCTTGGATGTGTCATCCTGATCTGGTGCATGGCATACAAATTGTGCAGCAGCATAGATGCTATCTGTTATGAGGCTGTAGTTTATGGAAGACTCGTCCTTATGTAGGTCGCCTCATGCTATTTCGCTTTGCTTACTTGGAAGGAGTTTCTCCATATATGGTACTCAGTCACATTCTGTTGGAATACATTTATTTAAATGTGACTGGCACGGGATATCACGGGACTGTCACCCTCTGTCACGATTACTTTTTCTCATCTCATTCGGTTACTCCCTGTTACTCCATAGATAGTTTAAGTGAATTTACTTTTATTCTGCTTTTCAATATCGGTGCCTGAAAGACGCCCCCGTTTTTTGATTCCATGATATTCAATTAATATTTAATAACCCACAAGGAAGGAGCCGAGTTTTTGCCATGCTGTGAGGCCTGGCACAAAAGGCCTGCTCTCGTCCTATCTGGACTGGGCCTAAGCAAGCAGGACAGCTGCCTAGGCCGTACAAGGGGAGGTGGGATAAGTGCCGCTACTGGTGTAGGGAGCCTGACCAGTGGTGGTTGCGGAGCTTGGGTGGACCTAGCCAAAGGTCCTGGAGTGGGGGAAGGAGGTGTAGTTGGTGAGGATGGAGGTGGTTGGGGGTGTGGAGCCTCAACGTAGACTGTAAGTCGTAGGAGAGGTTCAGGAAGTTGAGAGAGGTGTTCAGAGAGGTGAGACAGAGAAGAGAAACAGAGTTGAGTGAAACAGAGGTGAAGGAAACAGAGTTGAGGGAAACAGATAAAGAGGAAATATATGACAGGTGAGACATGTCAGGCCCTGTTAGCAAGTACAAGTAGACTGTGCTAACAGGGACCAAGCCAGGTTGGAAGAGTTTCCAGATAAGATTTGACAATAACACGCTGGGGAGCTCCGAGGGGAGTCCCCAGCCTATATACTATACATGTGACAGCCATGTGGCATAT